TTTTTTAAAATAAAGGAAACTAAATCACTACATAAATATAACATGAACATATGTGATAAAGTTCTTATGGGATTCACCTTTTATATAAAAGTACTTTTAAAGGGTTCACAAAAACACACTCATGTCAAAGTCAAATACAGAAATCCTCTTTGGAGTACTCTTAGCAGCCCCCCCACCCCCCGCCCAAAAAAACTCCAAAAGGAGTCTAAGATACATTTTTAAGTCTCCAAAAACTTTTGGATTAGTAAGTGCTTCTTTACTTTGGGTATAGAAAATTACTAATATGGGTGTATAAAAAAATTGAGGGTCTTTAAATTATGTGCTAAAGAACTGAAAACTGATTATCATTACCAAAAACAGGAAAAAAATAAAAATAAAAAAGGAGCATAACAGCTTGCATATATAGGTGACTTGACACCTTAACTTTTCAAAGTGAGACATGGAGAAACACCCTATTAGCAAAAGTAAATTTCCCCCTAAAAATTACATTTACAAATCAGAATTTTCTTAAGACAAAGGTGACAGTAGAGTGACTCACCTGTGGAACATTCTGTATGTATGTTGGATGCTGCTGCTTTTGCTGAACAGCACTTTCTATTGCTACTTTAGCTACAGTGCTTGGGTCTGCTCCTGCTGGCACAGCAACCATTGTTGCACTACAGCCCGCATTGTTGGGATCACTGATTGTTACAATTCTAACTCCTACTTTATTTGGAATTCCTGTGACTGTTTCCCTATCATTATCCTCTGCAGGCCTTTTTACAGTTTTGCATTCTGCTGTGCCATTTGTAGACCGAACTTCAGATGACAGGGCAGGTGACTGGGATATTCTTGATCCTGAGTGGGGAACTGCTATGATTTGATGCCCCTGTATAACAGAGGTTGTAGAATGTGGTGAGACAACTACACTTGGGCGTTGCTGAGGCACATCTGAATTCAAACTTGAAGCTAGAGGTCCATTAGGCAAATCAGTACCACTAAATTGCTGTGTTAGCACATTTGAAGCCTCCTGTATACTGCACACAGATGGCGAACCACCCAAAGTTAATACAGGTCCATTAGAAATTCTTTCTAGTTGATCACCTTTGGCAGTATCTTGCTGAGTGGCATCTAAAGTCCCCTGTGGTTCCATTGGAGATATCTCACCATTTCCTACATGATTGGAAGTTTTGTGATTTGGAATGTTTTTGCTTAAATGAGAACCATCTCCTTTATCAAAATCACAGATTCCATTGACTAGGGATTTTTTAAAATCACTTTTGATATCCTGCATGTCTATTTGTTCTGAGTTTTGTTTTCCAGAGGCTCCATTCTCACCTAATTCAAATGATGGCCCATTACTGATTAGTGAGCACTGATTAGCCTCACTTTGAATTTTCCCTGAGTTTGAAGGAGGTAGACTTGAGTCGCTGTATTTTCTCCCATTTAAAAGACTTGCCACCTGCATTTCGTTTTCCTTTGTATCCCCGTTGCTGGTGGTCATAGCTCCTCGTCGGCAGGATGGGTTCTCCATGACTTCGATTTTACGTTCATGAACATGTAAACCTGTGGCTTCCTTTGCTTCCTCCTCCTTTTGGCAAATTATTTTATCACCTTTAAATGGGGGAGTAGCAGTAGTACATGGTGATTGTCCAGCTGGAGATGCTTGAGTGGCTGGAAGTGGCTGCACCTGAAGTCCAACTCCTGCCTGTGTTCCGCTCATGGTAATTCCTGCTGGAGCAATGAGCTGAGTTGCATTTCCCTGACTCACAGTTGCAGTTGCAAAACTTGTATTTGGCACAACTGTTATGGTTACCTGGTTGCCAGAAGTTCCTTGGAAAATGGTCGCTGGACTATTTGAGATCAGTGGGCCTGGTAATATCTGTAAGTTCGAAATGGGCACGGTTTGTACTCCTCCTGTGGGTGGCATTGCACTTTGGACCAACTGAACATTTTGCTGCCCAACCAACAGTTGCTGAGCCGGAGTTTGCCCCTGTACTCCAAAACCTGCTGCTTGGTTATTGGCCACCTGATAGACCACCTGAGGGCTAGGAGCTCTTGCATTATTAGGGGGAGGAATCTGTGGAGCTGGGAGAATAAGCTTACCACCTGGAGTTGAAGGACCACGCTTTGGAAGCAGCAACTGTTTTATTAGACTAGACTCACCAGAAGCAGGCTGACTCACTCCTGTGTTTGTCTGCTGTGGCTGGACTTGCATCTGTACCTGTTGTGGCTGCTGAACTTGTACTTGTACCTGCTGTGGTGGGGGCACTGGTGAATGCTGCTGCTGTTGCTGCCTTTTCACAGATAGCATTTGACTGACCGTAGGAGGTGGTCCCTGTGATTGAGGGGTAGAAGTTGAAGGGACTTGGTTATTAGCAGCTGGGACAGGTGATGGTGAGGAAGATGGAGTTATGTTTGGTTGACCAGTTAGCTGAACTGTCTGACCAGCTGGAAGAGCTGCTGGATTAGCAAGAACAATTTGGTGAATGGCTGGTGCATAAGTCTGACCTTGTTGAGCTGGCTGGCTTACGATCACTACACTTTGTTGGGTTGGCTGCTGTGGTTGTTGAATAGGCTGCTGTACCACCGTTGATGAAACTTGTTGCGAAGGGACAGGTTTTGGCGCAATATTCTGAAACCCTACCCTTGAGGGTTGTGGACTTGGGACACCAGCAATGGTAACCATTTGTCCTGTAGCTACCTGAAAATTCTGTACTGAAGTTGCTGAAACAATATTAGATGCAGAAGTTGTTACGTACTGTGGGGGCGCTATGATAACAGTGTCCTGTGGCTGGCTACCAGCTAATGTCTGTTGAGATGAAGTTTGCACAGGTTGGGGTGACGTGGTAATTAACTGTTGACCCTGTGAAACTGTAGAAGTACATGCTGGTATATTCTGTACTCTGCCAAATATATGACTCTGTGGTACAGCTTGCTGAATTACCGTAACAGGAGTGCCTGAAGGTATTTGTCCTGGTACCACGGTGTGTAATGGAGACTGTTGTGGAATTACAGATGGATGATGAAGCAATGTTTGAGAATTTACAACTGTAACAGGCTGTGGTCCTGTACCATGATTCTGAACCACAGAACCCTGTGCAGCTCCTCCTCCAACAGCAACACTAACAGGAACTGCTGATGGGGGTAGAGAATTCTGGATTACTGTAGCCTTAACAACTTCACAAGGAACTGGAGCTTTATTTTGAATGACAGTCACCGGAGCACTCTGCTGCTGGTGGGTATGAACTGAAGGATTTGGTGGAACTCTTGAAACAGTCTGTGCCACAGTATGAATGCCTTGTACTGGAAAAGACATTTGTGTTGCAGTCAAATTTGAAGATTGGTTGGTAACAGGAGTCCTTGGGAAGTGATTTCCTACAGTTTGTGGTCCGTGAGAGATTCCTGAAAATATGGAGGAAAAGTACAAATTCTGATTACAGAAAAGCAATAAGTAAAAATTATTTTACTTAATGTAAGTGAAAATAGTTTTAAGAAATGAGTATCTAAGAACTCCGAATCATAGCAATACGTTAAAAAATAGATCAAGTAAGTAAACACTACTGGAGAAACAGAAAATGTTATACTTTGAAATGTATATAACATATATTTTTCATTTAATTTTTATTATTAAATTATTTAAAACACAATAAAAATACCTGCAGGTGATGGAGCTGAAGATACATCAGGAACAGAATCAACCCGAACAACAGGTGTAGAAGCTGGTTGCTGTTGATAGTACATTTGAATGGGAAGTGGTATAGCCCTCCGCTTTACCCCTACTACATGAATATGCGCCTGCCCACTGTTACTGGAATCCTCCACTCTCTTCACTGTATGATTTGGAAAGACCGATCTGTCAAGTACATATATGCTCAATTAGTTTTGGTAACCAGAACAGTATCAAAATATGGTGGCTTCTAATATAATGTTTACATGAAAATAGCAGTACATTCACTGCTTCTTATATATGAGTCCCTATGATTCATAGTTATAGTCTTCAAGTCAGCAAGCAAGGAAAAATACATAGATCAATCCTCTCATTTTAAAAATTATTTATTAATAATGTTATTGGGCTTTAAATAATTCTACCCCATGTATAATTAACAAAAAACTGCACATAGGCATACCTATTATATAAACTTTGCAAAATATCCAAAAAGCCTTGATATCTGGATCTAAAGTATTGGTATAGAGTATCACTCAAGATTGAAAAGTCATGTCTTTAACATATAAAAGTAGGTAAGAAAAAAAAAATACAGTTAATTTCTTCTGTTACTTTTTTTTGATAAACCTCATAATGTTAGAACACAAAAACCAGTTGTACTTTCCAAAATTCCCTTTTATTTAAACCTCCACTGCTCTAAACCTAACCATAGAAAACTTCAAGTAGCTAGAGATATTTAAAACTAGACAGATATTTGGAATTTTTTCTAAAGAGCAAGAAGTCTTTCAAGTGCTGCAAATGAATTTTATTTAAATTCAAGAACCATGCATCCTACCTAAGACATTTATAAAATCCAGTTGATGTCAGGATTCCACCACGGGCTAATTTACTGCAAGTTGAGAGGTATTCAGAATACATTTCTGCTCGAGAGACAGAACAATCTGGATTTACTTCGAAGTGTGCATTTAGCCTAAAAGAGGAGGAAAATAAAAGGCATTTGTGCAATATACCACAGGACAGTCCATATACCAAATCCATTCAAAGGAAATGTGTTATAAACTAATAATTATATTTCCTAATCAATTTTCACTGTCTCATATTTATTAGCAAAAATACATGCTAGGTTTTAGACAGAATTAATCACATAAAAAGAAGTTAACTACTTATTTTACCACAAAAAAATCTAACTACTTAAATATAAAAAAGTATTTTCACATCCCAGTGAAAGGAAGGTTGGTCTGGTTATAACAAACAGTTTTATTCATTCAGTGACTATCTACTCAGGTTCCTGTCTACAAAAGCCATTACAGAAGTTCCTAATTACTAGCTATTTCCACTGGGGATCAGGAAAATGGTAGCAGGGGAGGCACTGAACTAAGGTTAAACTTTTCATGAATCTTGAATCAAATTCTGTCCTCAGAAAAAATTTACCTGAGCTTGTCAACTACTCTCTAAAATAATAACATCTCTCATGCCACACACTCTATCCCCCAACTCAGAACCTTCTATTTCTGAATCCATTATAAACTAATTTAAATTTAGTTTGTCTTTTTTCCTCAATGTAACTATTTCCAGAACTCTCTACACATAACAGGCCAAGTTACAGCTGCTGCTTATAAAATGCTCCAAATAATAATGATGATGATGATAATAAAATAATTACAAAGTAATTCTCTCCTCCACTTCCCCTAAGTACTAAAGGAAATGTGCAACTGAGATTTCCAAGATCAAATCTGTACCTAAAACACATATACATTTTATAGTGGTTGTGATACATTTTCCAACTTTCATAATTCTTTGGTATCAAGATTTTGAAAAGATATAAAAACTTCACTTTTGTTTCAATGTAAAAGAAACATTTCCAAATATCACTGGAAAAGAGTCATCCAGTATAAAGGGTCAAGGTATAAAATATATCAAGTGAAGAAAAATCAGCAAATCATTAAAGACATAGAATCATTAACCTGACATAAACAAAGTAAAAATGTCAGGAGAAAAATGTCATAAGGACAAGGTTATGAATTAAAGCACCAAAAATATGGAACACAGGATAACACGGGCATGAAATGGGGGGAAAATAATATTAAAGAACAGGAGAAAAGGGATCAAGGAATGAAATTTCAGAACTTGATACATCATTGGACAGTGACGTTATATTTCAATCTGTTAATCTTCTAAAAGAATTAAAATTGTACTTCGTAAGTAATGTTGAAGCAACTATTCATAGCAAAACTTAATCTACTCCGTTCAAATCCCTGGCGCCACCTCCCCTCAAACCCTGCCACCCCAAGTGGATGAGATATAACTACTTACTTTTCTCAAGACAGACACACTAGCAATTCTATCATTTGATTTGTTCCCATGCAGTACTCACCAAAAAGGTAAAATTAACTACCAAACAGCAAGAAGTTTCTGCTTTTGGTAAGAAAGATGGGAAATTTAATAACAAAATCTCGTTTTATTTTTTTAAAGTCAGTCCAATACAATTCTAACCACATATTAAGAAAAACATAATTTATAATCTGACACTTTATTTTCCACTAAGTTTTAAAATAAAATGGTATAATCTGATAAAATTCTAATCAAAGTCTAATTTAATTCTGAAGATTATGATATTTTTCTTTCCAATTATTCTAACACACAAATGAAGTAATTTTATATTGTCCTTTATTACATACAGAATACTCTATACTAATAAAAAGGATTCTTCCCAAGGGGAAAGCCTTAATAGAAATAAACCACTTACCACTGACAAGCAAACTTCTCACTATCTATTTCCACTATTCCTGGAGGTGGACCAACATGCTGTGTTACAACTGTTCTGGAAGCTAAAGGAGAAAATACATTAAGTACAACATTTTTTAAAAAACTTACATCACAGCTGTCATATTCAGTTCTTAGATGCTAAACAAATTAATAGTCACAAAGAATACCTTTTAAAAAGTTATATAAACTTGACAAAGAAACAAACATGTAACGGAGCAAATATTATACAAGGCATTGTTGGAGATACCTTATATAAACTGTTTTGTTTTCAAAATCATTCAAATAACAATACTGATGAATATTGTTGAGAAAATTAAACTGTTTTTTCCCATGGGCCAGACACTGAATTGAATACTTTAAATGATTATCATACTTCAATCTTCTGTGAGGTAGGTACAGATGAGGAAACTGATACTTCAAATGGTTAAAATAACTAGCCTCAATTCACACAGCTCAACACATCAGTAAATAGGCATCTCTCAGTCTAGTTACAGAATTGGCTTTAAAAAAGTAAAAATTTAAAAGCATACTGCAAGAGAAATTACTATTTTACTTCTAAATATAAAAGTTTATTATTAATTCTTTAAGGAGAACATATAAAATTTCTAGAATAAAATATATAAAAGCCAAACTAAGTTCCACGGTCAAGAAAAGGTTTTCATGGGTTATTCTTAACTGGGGGGGAGGGACAGGATCTGTTGTAATAACAGTGTATTTATCGTCCTCAAGGAGAAAAAAAGGTCTGCAGAAATGTACTCACTATTATTCTTATTACACATATAATCTCTAAAATTTTACTAATGACATAAGACAATTTCAAGGCCAATGAATAAATTAAGCCATCACTCATCTATTATTTTCTAACAAGCTGAATAAATCGATAGAAAAAGGAATATATTTTCTTTTCTGCTAAGCTATACACAGGCATTAATGAAAACAAAAAATATAGAACATAAAGTTAGTCATTATAAAGATGTATCTAATATATTTATAGATAAAAAGTTATTTTACTTTTCACCACTGGATCAGTATTATTTTGTAATTTTAAAACATAGTTTCTGCCAACATTTTCTCATAGGACATTTTAGCAAAACTCAGAACCTAGCTAGAAGGAGAAGAAACGATAAACCAGAGTTGTCAACAGTAAGATGACTTTGGTTCCAATTATTATGTTCTCCTTTAAAGAAGGCATAAATGTATTTTTAAAATATTGTCACTAGAGGAGTTTCATAGCACAGCTTAATCTGTGAATGATCTTAAACAATCATGATCTTTGATGAGGTATGCAGGCATGTATTGGGATAATAGCTAAAAGAAGCCACTTAATGAACATTTACTCTGCATTAGGCAATTTACATTTATTTGTTTTGATCTTCTCTATAAACTTTTATAAACTTTATAAACTTGATACATGAGAAAACTAACTTTCAGAGATTAAACTGCCAGTCCATTCACTCATGAACATATGGTAGGATAGCAGAGCTGGGTGTAGCTGAAAAGCCTTCTTGTTTTTTTTTTTAATTATTATGAAAGAGCATCCCATACTTACAATGAGAAACGTTATAATCACTATATAAAACAGAATGAAGAAGCAATAAATTAAGAATATAACCTAGAATCATATAATTTCCATAAAAATGGTTACAAACTGGGAAGCGTTGCTCTCAGAATATCTGAAGACATTCCGAAGGATATGCAGTCACTCAGAGTTTTTAAGGAATCAATTTCTAGGTACTCAATTTTGTTATATTTTACCTTCTAAAAGTGCTTTGCCTGAGAACATTACCTGCCCTTTGATAATTCCTCTTCTTCCATTTGGGAACAGAAAGGCTTAACTCTCACCCATCTTTTACAGTATTGCAGGAGTATGGTTAAATGCATGACTCAGGTGCCAGACACGCTGGCTCCAGGAGGACATTACTCACTAGCTGTGTAATCAAAGGTAAGTTACTTAACCCCTCTGGGTATAAAATCGGAAAAGTAATAGTACAGTGACCTCATAGGTTGTTATGAAAATTATAGAAGTTTATATAAAAATCATTTAAAACAATGGCTGGCATATAGTAAGCATTATACAAACGGTAGCCATTATCACTACTCTACGTATTTCTCTAGGTCAAAAAACATCTGGGGTACACCAAACAAAGGGAATATTAGAAACACTACCATCCACAAAGCCTCTTTTAACAAATGTAGTATGTTAGGGTTATCTGTTCCAGTGTTTTATATATTATTATTAAGAGCAAAGCTTAATATTAGAATTTAGGTATTCTAGGCCTTTATGTGTTCTGAATTCAGATATTATAGAGTTGTGACAATTTTTCCTTAATAGCCTAGCCTCCTCTAGCCCTCATCTATTGTCAAAGAGTGCATTACTTTTGAGCAGGACTTCGAACCAAGTCAGCCTGGTTCAGTCATGGCCAATGAAGCGACAACTGAATAGACTGGAAATTTTAAAATGTGGGTGAACCAGAACACTAACTGGAATGGGGAAAATTATGGGTCAAAGCCCAGCTAGAAACTTAGTGTTCCTCTTAGAAAACAAGGGCATCATGCTCATTGCATGTTGTTGTTGTTGTTATGTGCCGTCAAGTCAGCCCTGACTCATAGCGACCCCTCCTTGGGTTTCTGAGGCAGTATCACTATGGAAGCAGGATTGCCCAACCTTCCTTCCGAGGAGTGGCTGGTGGGTTTGAACCGCCAGCCTTCTGGTTAGCAGTCAAGTGCCTTAGCCACTATGCTACCAGAGCTCCCATTGCATAGCAACCAATTTTCCTGTCCCTGAGTCAGAAAGCAGTGGTGCCCTGATCATAGATGGTATGGACCATGCAGATTTGAATGTGTATGCTCCACATTACTGGCAATAATCCAATGTCATGCATCAGACTCCTAAAAGGGCTCACTATGCCTCTTCCAAGTCTCCCATTCAAGGGCTATGACTTGTAATTTTTTCTGTTCCAGTTAGTGTTCCAGATCATGCAAATTTAAAAAATTCAGGTCTGTTCTAGTTTTGCTTTATCAGCCATGACTGAACAAACTAGTCTGAAGCACTGCTTTTGAGGGAGAGTCCTGCATAAGTAAAGCATAGCTAATATGTATTTTTTTCAATATGGAAGGTGGTGGCATTTTATGATTAGAACTTTGAAGTAAGGCTGGTGTAATGGAAACACATATTAACATGTTTTCTTGAATTGAAAAATCTTACTTTTTGTAACAGAAAGTGAGGTAGGTAAACAGATATTTTTGACAGTAAAGACTAGTGTCATTGGTTAGGTTATATGGTAGATATTTCCCATAAACAGAATTAGGTAAATCTCACTGCTAAGGTTTTAACAAAAATGTATTCAAATCACTTGATCAAAGCATTTCATCAGAAAACATTGCATTGGTCTTGATACACACTATATTTCAGTGTTCCTCACTTGTGGTCCTCAGGTGTAGTCAGTCCCCAGACCAGCAGCATCAGCATCTCATGGGAACTTGTTAGAAGTATAAACCTTTGGACCCCACCTGAATCTGAAACTCTGGGTATGGAGCCCAACACAATGTATTTTAATAAGCCCATCAGGTGATTCTGATGCACCCTAAAGTTTGAGAACCACTGTGCTAACATTCTGAATAAACTGGGTTAAACAAGGTGCCTCTAAGTGAAAAAATAACAAGTGTAATTTATAGTCAAGTCTTGTTAATAGCTCTCTGATATATTTTCCAGAAATTAAAAAGAAAATGTTTTTAATGATCAGGCAGAAAATACTTTTGGCAAGTCAGGTAATGGAATTCTTTGATTTCGACAAAATTGAAGAATTCAGTAAACTGTTAGCCTATTAAAATAATTTTAATACTTTCTAACAATTTTAATGCTCTTTTGGAGTACATTCGATTTTCATTTGTTTATATAAACTAGATTTTTCTACATACATCTATGAAAAGAAAAAACAGGGACAGACTGATCCTAAATAAATAATATTCATCTAGTGATCAATAGTTTTCAGCGATCTCGGAGGAAAAGTCCCATTTATCTCATTAAGAGATGTACTGCTGATAATTTTACAACTTACTTAATAATTATTTATATAACTTTGTATTTACCATTGTATGATGTACTATTTGCTACTAAAACTTGTAATGATAAGATAATTTTACAAACACTTAAAACCTTACAGAGTGATTGGGAATTGAGACACTTTAAATTAAAATGTTTATTTTTTCATAGCACAATAGCATGACAGGGTAATGAACAAGACTTTCAAACACGAAATGTATTCTATCAGGGTAAGATTCTGTGAGCAAATCAGAATATGGGTTCAAGTATAAAGAGGGATATTGTAAAGTTTCTGATGTTAAGAGTTTATGTATTTTTTAAGTAGTTGAAAGTGTCAAGATTCCAGCGTATACAAAAAGCACTGTAACTGTTTTACTTTACAATATCAAACTTAATATATATTCTTTGCAATTATTTAAGTTATGATGAAATTTGCATCTCAACCTTAAAATGGGTGAAAGAGTAAGTAAGTTTTCACAGAGAAGAGGTAGGTGAACAAAAAGTTTGAAGATGACCATTCTGTAAGAAATCAGTGTTAAACTATGGGGGAGAGGGACAAACTATAAAGGATAAATGATCAAACAACTAAGAGTTGTCACTCAGAGTAGGCAAGTTAAGAAAGTGCTCATCAGCTCAGAAATGAACTCATTTTGCTTCTTACAGGCCTATTTCCATTTCTATCAATGAATTACTATACATAGAAGTCACAGGATCTCAATGTTTAATTTTGTCCATTTTCCAAATGAGGATCAACTCTCAGTTTGGGGTGGTGTTTTCATTTGTTAAATGTCAAAGGTTAAAGGTCAGACATAAGGCAAAAAGAGAAGCTTTCATCAAAATCATCCTTGAATATTACTCAAATTGTCCTTTACAATTTAATGTCTTCACTGACAATTTATCAATTCCTGATAGGTTCTCTATGGCCCTCAATTTTAATCTTTAATTTCTTCTTTAAGGATATCAACATACCACTTATATATTACTCATTTAATTGGTAGCATTAACTGTTCCATTTCTTATCAAGCTTGAGAAACCACTAATATTCTGACCATAGATTCCCCAATATGCATTGAGCATTTAACCTACTGCATGAGGGTGAATGCTCATTGAGTAGATTGACAGTCAAAATTACCTCCATTATCCAAGGAGTCATGGTAGCACAATGTTTTTGTGCTCAGCTGCTAACCAAAAAGTCAGTGCTTCAAATTCACCAGCCACTTCACAGGAGAAAAGACCTGGAGATCTGCTTCTTTCAAGATTATAGCCTAGGAAGCCTATGGTGCAGTTCTCTGTTCTACAGGGTCACTAGCACTCAGAATTGACTTGACAGTTTTCTAGTTGAATTCAATTAAGGTAAATGCACATAATACAACTCTACTATATGCTTCAGAAAGACCTAAAGGATATTAATGAAATAAGGAATACACATTACATATTTTATATAAATAGAAAATACTATTTTAATATTATGGAGTAGAAGAGAGACTGACACTATGACTGAGTACGTGGCAACCAAATAACTGGCAAGAAATGATTCACGTCAAGCTAGTCATAGCAATGTCAATTGAATGTGGTAGTTAAAGATTAAGTATAATGAGATTTCTGGTTTAGGGCAGTTGAAGAGTATGAGAAAGATCTGAGTGTATTTCTATGTAGAAAGAGAGAAGAAAGTAAAGAAAGAGGTTTAAGATAATGGGAACAAGGAGATAGTAAAGATTTAATATTCAGAGCATAGATTCAGAAGAAGTAATATCTCTTCCAAAGACAAGAGGAAGCTGAAGGTATTCATGCCAGATGGCCTCCATATTGCAAAGTAAGAGATGAGGCAACTGAGAAAATGAGCATATTCCATTCAAAGAAAGAGAAGTGTCCTGCAAAGGGTAGGAGGTGGGAGGGCAAGTATTGTGAAAGATGGATAGTTTTTTCTTAGCATAAATGAAGACAGGAAAAGTATTCTACAAAGAGGCTGAGAGTGCTAAAATATAAAGACTATGAGAAGCCAGAAGAAAAAGTCCAAGGCCTGAAGAGAAGGCTAGCTACTAGACAGCCCTATGCTATAATTAAACAGATTTGAGTTAAACAGAATTGAGCCAAGGGTCCCTAGGAAGGGTGCACATGTGCAGGTATATTTTTTTGTGTGTGTGCATGGGTGTCTGCTCCTAGGTTATGATTCTATGAAGTAGTGGTTCCAAGAGTTAGGGATATAATATGTTTTCTAATGACCAACAGAGAGAATGATAAGGTAATAAATAATTATCCTATTCCTAATAAGTCAATTACTCATGACCAAAATCACATATAATATTCCACTGGGCATTTCTTATTGCTCTCATAATTGTGAACAGCTAGTCCATCACACGCTCCTCCAAATTCTTCTCAACATGATTTTTCTATTATACTATTCTTAATCTGTGTTCACCTAGATCCTGCTGCTCCTGGAATGTGTAAAAGACTAAGAAATTAGAGTACAGATCCAAATTCTCCTTTGGCCTACTCTGATATTAGTTCCCTATTTGCATATTTAAATGTATCCTTAGTATTAAATAATCAATAATCAATAATCATACTGAAAAAGATTATGTAAAAACACTAACCTGGGGCAGATGCTACATGGGTCTGAGTTTGGACTTGTTCTATAGCTTGTGGCCTAATTTCAGATAAAACTTGATGACTGGAACTTGGATGTTCGACGAGTTTTACTGCAGCTAGTGCATCAGGACCAAACATCTGGATATCCATAGAAACCAGACACACTAACATGTCTAAAATAAATAAATAGCCAATAGTTATTAGTCAGTATTATTATAAAACAATGTCAATGCTGAAGAATATATATGTTGTACAGAATATTGGTTCTCAAATGCCAGTCCATGAATCACTGTACATCAGAATTACCTGTGGATCTTTAAATAATATTTTTAGCCTTAATCTTTAAAAATGAATTTAGTAGATCTGGAGTGGGGACTAGGCATCTCTCTCGCTCTCTTTTTTTAAGTTTCCCAAGTGATTCTGATGTGTAGCCAGATTTAGGAACCACAGATATTGAAAATGACATTTTAAAATTCAATAGTAATAGTTGTCAAGCTAAATGTCATTAACTCTCACTTTAGTATTTATACCTAAGAAAGAAATAATTTTAATCACTGAGTAAAATGTTAACATGGTCTACTTTAGTAAGTGGATTTAAAACTGACAAAATATTGAGGAGGTAAGTTGTCTGACTTTAAGGAAACTACTGCTACCAGCAGCTTCCATGAACAGGATGACGCCTATTTCACTCAGCTTTAGTTGTTTACTTGTAGTAGATGACCATTTGAAACAAGCAAACCTGCCTCCCAGAAAGCCAGACAGAGCAGGTTTGTCTGACTTTAAATTTGATATACATAGTAACTAAAATAGAGATGGAACCGGGATTACCGAAAGCTATACATATCTAGTCTTCATATGATAGATGTTCCTTGCTGGTTTGAGACAGCCAGAATGAGTAATGCAAACAAGTTTATCTGAAGGAGTAAAGACTCCTTGAATTAAAACGGTAAACTCCAAATAACAATTTAGGAGCTCTAGTGGTACAGTGCCTAAGGAATCTGACCGCTAACCAGGTTGGCAGTTCAACCCACCACCCACTCTGCAGAAGGAAGACTACAACTTCCATAAAAATATACAGTCTTGGAAATCCAATGGGGGTTGCTATGAGTCAGAACCGACTTGATGGCATTAATGGGGTTTGGTTTTTGGTTTTAAATAGCAATTGGGATTTTTGTATACAGCCACACTGAATACTTTTTTACTCAATAAAGAAAACAAATGTTTCTTTGATCTATCTTACCTATGCTCTTTTCTACTTTTGCAATTTTTGTGCAAGCGACATCTCCCATTTCTGTGAGCATATATAGCACCTCGAGTGTTGAGATTACAAGCAGCACATCAGGTAAAGTGAGATGACAAATGATCTCTCTGTATGAGTCCTGATCCACATATTCACAAATTAAAACACCATTATCTTCTGCTTTGCAAAGATTTCCCAAAATTTCCATGCCTGAAAAGCACATACACATACACATTTTTTTTTAAAAAAAAATGATTAAAATCTGAACACATTAAACAATGAGAAAATTAAGTGAACACTCACCCCTCATTTTTAAAAATCTATCCCTTGACATTAGGCATTTTGTAACAGTATGAAACATCAGATGAGTAGTTTTGAAATCAACAGGGTCCAATAAAAGCTGGGAGAAAAGAAAAGACACTATTGTTGAGATGTGTTTCTTCCAGTGGTGTATATTCTAAATTTAATTAAAATGAACAAAACAATGTTGTACAACTTCTAAAAATGTAAATACTGTGAGAACAGTCATCACTACACTTAAAGTATCATTTCCAGTATTTTATCCACAAAGCTAATACTTTCATAACACCATTTTTAGAAACAAATGTATGTAACCATTTAGTATGCTTGCATATAATATGCAGTAAATATATAATAAGCATAAAAACCCACTGTGGTCAAGTCAATTCTGACTCATCGCGACCCCCATTGGGTTTCCAAGGTGGTAAACCTTTACAGAAGTAGATTTGCCCAGTCTTGCTTCCACAAAGTGGCTTTGGGTTTGAACCACCAACTATCTGGTTAGCAGTCAGATGCTTTAAGCACTATGCTACCAGAGCTCTGTAATAAGCATGGCAACTATAATAATAATGCCACATCCTAAAATTTTAAAGTAAATATCTTAATTATTTACAAAAATTATTTCACATGCTTACCTCAGCTGCAATATTTCCTAATGTATCAAGGCCCAGCTGCCTTAGAGAAATAAAATGACTATGTGCAGAAAGTAATAGGAAACGAAGACAAGTACGATTAGCTGCCAAGAGCTTAACATTGCTCTCCTCAAAGGAAAGATTTCGCAAAATCACGGCAATCTGAAGTACCCGCTGCCCTTCAATATCGTTAATGCCCAGCTTTCGAGGTGGATGAAATAAAGATTCCCAAATCCATTCTCCTGATGTACCTTCTGTAAGGGAAAATAAATATTTACACAAATTTGTAATTTATTACTATTTATATTTCAAAATTAATTTAATTTTGCACTAAATGACTTACCATGAGACTTATTTCTGTCAGAAATGAGGTCACGTACTTCATTATCATCAACAATGTCTTTCCAAAACTGTAAAGAGAAATTAAGTTGAGTTTTGAATATTTGCAACTATTCCATTACTTTAAAAATCATCATATACACTATAAAACTATTTCTACTTTTTTCTTAGTTCATGTGTATATCACTACATTCTATAGATTTTTTTTTTTACATAAATGCTTTATTTGCTATAGTATAAGATATTTATATATTAAAAATGTCTTTTTTGACCAGGGGTTTTAAACTTGGAATCTATATAATGCTAAAGGGACTGTGAAAGAAATTAGGGCAACTACTTGTGAACTTGGATGGGGAAAACAAACTTACCTCTTTATGTTCATTAACTTAAGTCCTTCCTTCAACTCTAAACATTAGGCTATAAATAACTGTAATATTAACAGTATCTGTGACATGGCCACCGATATGAATCACAGATATTTTCAGATCACTCTACACTTGTAAAACTATCTAGACATAATGTTTATGCTCATCAGTACTTCAAAATTATAGTTATTAATACTATGATGTACATGATCATAGTATTCTTGCTTACAGACACTACTGTGACATAGCTAGTCAACGGCTAAGTAAATCTACACGTACTAAATATTCAAACAGCAAAACATGAAGCAGTGTGTTTCCAAACTGGTAACTTGCTTTCCAGTATTCTCTATCTATCTTTTGATCAATATGTGTGAGATGAGTAAAAATTTATGCCACTGTTTAATGTACTTTTACAAGCCAAGAAACTAATGGAGACAAAGACTATACACTAATATTTCTATACAAAATGAAATTTAACTTCAATTTGCCTACCACTTAACTGTGTTACTGTGTTACTTATTAGTATCAATAAAGTATTAGTAACAGTATTAATAAAGAAGAAGCACTTGAGCTAATACATCACTTTTTATTTCTAAAAATTCTGATACACACACACACATATATGTGTGTGTGTATTTTAAGTTAAATTAAAATTTTTTAATATTTAAAGCCACTAGTCCCAGAAGGGGAGCTCTGGTAGCATAGTGGCTAAGGCACTTGACTGCTAACCAGAAGGCTGGTGGTTCAAACCCACCAGCCTCTCCTCGGAAGGAAGATGGGGCAATTTACTTCCGTATTGACACTACCTCGGAAACCCAAAGACGGGTCGCTATGAGTCGGGTCCGACTCGATGGCACATAACAACAACAACAACAGTCCCAGAAGAGGGAGCTCTGGTAGCATAGTGGCTAAGGCACTTGACTGCTAACCAGAAGGCTGGTGGTTCAAACCCACCAGCCACTCCTCAGAAGGAAGGTTGGGCAATCTATAAGAGCTCTGGTAGCATAATGTCTAAGGCACTTGACTGCTAACCAGAAGGCTGGTGGTTCAAACCCACCAGCCACTCCTCGGAAGGAAGATGGGGCAATATACTTCCGTAGTGATACTGCCTCGGAAACCCAAGGAAGGGTTGCTATGAGTCGGGGCTGACTCGACGGCACATAACAACAACAACGGTCCCAGAAGAGGTCCAAAGCCAGACAACCAAGATGACCTACAGCACAAAAAATTGCATGATAAACAATGTTGGTAAACACAATAAAAAAAAACTAGGCATATGAAGAAAATGGCAATGTTCATTAACCAAGAAAATAGCACCACAAGCAATTCAATTAATGAAGATATCATACACATAATTAAAAATAACCATGGAAAATAAACTCAATGGCATATGAAATTATTGAAAATTCTGATAAAGAAAAGGAAAAGTGTAAGAAAGAACCATATCAAATTCCATAACTAAAAAATCTAACTGAAATTAAAAGATTCAACAGATGGGATTAATCACTAAATAGATCTAATCCAAGATATTCGTGAATGGGAAAAGAAAGCAGAATAAATCATCATGTTTGAGGAATAGAGACATAAAAGGATGAATGGAAAATAGTATACAAAACAGGGGACACAATGAAAAGTTCTAACATTCAAGTAATTAAGTTGCTGAGGATGTGGAGAAAGAGAATGAGACAGAAACAGTATTTGAAAAGACAGACATTAAACCGAAGCCATTGCCACTGAGTCATTTCTAACTCATAGTAACCCTCCAGGGCAGAGAATAACTGCACATAGGGTTTCCAAGATGGCAAACCTTTATGGAAGCAGACTGCCTCATCTTTCTCCTATGGAAAAGTGGCTGGTGGGTTCTAACTACTGACTTTTCTGGGTTAGCAGCACAATGCTTTAATCACTACACCACAAGAGCTCCTTTTCTGAGGGAACAGGACAGTGAAATTTCTAAAACAATTAAAAGACATCAACTTTAAGAAGCACTAACACTTGAATAATTTTTTAATATATTTTATTAAAATATAATTTATGTACAGTGAGACACACAAAACTAAAATGACATGGGTCAATGGATTTTTTTTCCCCCCGCAGTGTTCCCTCCTACCCCTGGCAACCAACAAAGAAAGTTTCCTTCCATATATAAACCTTTCCTTGACCCTCCACAACAACGAACTAATACTATATTTGCCCTTCTATGACTGACTTATTTCACTCAGCATAATGTCCTCCAAGTTCATCCATGTTATGCAGTGTTTTGCAGGCTCTCTACATTATTCTTTAGTGCTGCATAGCAGCATTCCATTGTGTGTATGTACCATAGTCAGGTCATCCACTCTTCCAGTGATGGGCATGTAGGTTGTTTCCATCTTTTTGCTATTGTAACTAGTGGTGTGATGAACATGGGTGTGCATATATCTGTTTCTCTTATGGCTCTCACTTCTGGAGGATACATACCTAGTAATGGGATTGCTGGGTCAAATGCTATCTCCAATAACAGCTTTCTAAGGAATCGCCATATGTTTTCCACAGTGGTTGTTATCATGTCACAGTCCCACCAGCGTTTGTTATTTCCTGTCTCGTTGAACCTTGCCATCAGTGCTGGGGTTAGATGGTATCTTGTTTTGATTTGCATCTCTGATGGCCAATGATCGTGAGCATCTCTTCATGTATTTGCTGGTCACCTGGATATCCTCCTTGGTGAAATGTCTATTCATGTCTTCTGTCCATTAATTCCTTTGTTGTTGAAGCACTGGAGTTTTCTATAAATCTTGAGATAAATCCCTTATCAGATATGTAGTTATCAACAAGTATGAATTTGTTGCTTTCATTTTTGGTGCTTTTTCATGGTGCCAATTTCTTTGTTCCATATAATTTTCTGTGCTGAGATCGTTTTCTTTATGAATCGTGTTACCATTTCCCTCGTTGCTACTGCGTTAGTATTTGCTAAATATTTGTGCTGGTCCTCTTTTTTATTCTGATGTGAAGGTTTATCATTTTTCTTTGAGGTTACCCTGTGATTTCTAGTTTTATTCCCCAAGTTTAGAACAGTCCATTCTATCTCGTAGTTGTCTTGACTTCCCTAACATTTAGAAGTTCTGTAACTACACAATTTTTCCCTCTTTTTGGTTTGTAGTTGTCTTCATTTGTCAACTGATGCCTCTGATTCCCTGCTTACAATCTTGTAGGCTTATTTACTTTGGATAATTCCATAGCTGGGTTGGTTTCTGGGTTAACACACACACCACGTGTGTTAATGTTCATCTGTTGTTTGCTGTTGTTGGTTCTCTGTCTAAAGGACTCCCTTTAACATCTCTTGTAAGATTGGTTTGGTTTTAGCAAATTACCTTAATTTCTGCTTATCTGGATATGTCCTAATTTCACCATCATATTTGAGGGACAATTTTGCTGGGTACATAATTCTTGGTTGGAAATTTTTCTCTTTCAGGGTTTTATATATAACATCCCATTGTCTTCTTACCTGCATGATGTCTGCTGATAAATCAGAGCTTGTAGGTAACTTTTCTTTATTTCTGTGCTGCTTTCAGGATTCTTTCTTTGTCTTTGGTCTTGGTGAGTTTGATGATGACATGTCTTGGTGATTTTCTTTTGGGGTCTATCCTATTTGGGGTTCGCTGGACTTCTTGAATGGATATATTCTCATCTTTCCTCATACCAGGAAAATTCTCTTCCAACAAATCTTTGACTATTTTTTCTGTGGTTTTATTTGTCTCTTCCTGTTCTGGAATTCCAAATACACATAGGTTATTCCTTTTGATGGTATCCCACATGAACCTTAGAGTTTCTTCATTTTGATCTTTTTTCTGATTGATTACTTTGTAAAGAAGTATTGAGGTATCTGCCTTTAATCTCACTAATTCTGTCTTCCATTGATTCAATTCTACTCCTTTGCCCATTCAATGTCTTATCTATTTCTGAAAATTTAGTATTAATCTTCTGGATCTCTATCTGTAGATTTTGTATCATTTCTAATTTTTCATTTATTTTGTCATTTTGTTCTTGTATTGTCTTTTGAAATTGTTCTAGGGTTTTCTCTGTGTTTTCCTTGATCTGTCTATCAATTTGTTGAAGATATCTAAATATAATTCTTTTGAATTCATTATCAGAGAGTTCCAATTCTGCATCTTCCTCAGGGATGTTTTGGGTCTGTATACTGGTTCCTTGTTTCTCCTCCTTTATCTTGCTTGTTTGTGTGGACTGTGATGCTCTGTTGTCTCCAAGGCATTGCAATGTTTTTGTGTTTATATTTAATTGGTGATTGTAAATTGGAGTGATCTGCCCACAATTTTCATTTTCCTTGTTTTGTTTTTATGTTATCTATGTAAACAGGGTACTGTGCTGTGCTCCTCTGTTCGCTAGTTGGCAGCACTTATACACTTACCACCTGTCTCCTTTTCCCTTGTCAGCCTCCTGTACGTCCCTGCCATCCTTGGCAAATGGAGCCTAGTCTTAGGTCTCTAGAATCCAAATGAGAATGCTGTCACTTTAAAATCCAAATGGCCACCACTTGTAAAGATTCAAAATGGATGCACCCTCTTGGTCACTTTAAATATCCAAAATAGCTGTCCTTGTAAACATTCAAAATGGCTGCACCCTCTGGACAGCTGAAAGTCCACAGCTCAGGTTGTCTTCTTTCTTGCTGTTTCCCTTCCTAGTCACAAGCGACCAGCACAGTCATCCTG